GGCTGTGACGGTTGTGCTTCTGCTGGTTCACCGTCGGAAGGCGGCAGTGTTGCATTGCCATCGCCACATAGCAAGAGTAGGGAACGCTTGCTTGCATGCTGGATCCTAGCTTCGACCTCAGAAGGGAGCAAGTCGTCTAGATGTCTTTAATTTTGTCGGGGTCCGATATAGTGTATAAGTATATATATACGTATACAGTATTATACAGTAATGTATATACATACATATATACACATAGAGATGGACTATGCAATGAAAAGATTGCCGGAAAATTGACTGAGAGGTAGCGGCAAGAAACTTCTGCAGGAAGGTCCATGTGCTTTGGGGTGTTGCCAAAGTCTTCAACCAACAAAGTATAGTGCCCAAAAGTTGTCTTCTTGTCCTCTGATTGGTTCAAGCTAAACAGCAAGTGAGCCGCCACTGCACCGGACCCATAGATGCACTGAGGTAGTTCTCCACCAGGAAGAGTGCCAACCTGCAGGGACACGGATGGGACGGACTGTATCTCAACCACCAAGCAAATGGACTATCGTGGCAGGTGTTACTTCTCACTTAGAACATTGCGAGTGTATGTATGTATGTATGTATGTATGTGTATGTATGTAACGTGCCATGACACAATGGTCAGGCGCTTGAGTTTGACAAGCATTGTTCTGTTCAAGGACCTGTTTGTATTCTCTACGCAGGCCCGATGTTGTGTTGGGTAGGCATTGTTCTAAGCGTAAGGTTTCCCAACCTTTTGTCAACCCAATGCCTCACGTGCACATGTGACACGCGCACAGCTGCTACACACATAGGATATCCATTCTAGATCGCCTGGAGAGAAAGATGGGTTCTTCATCACACGGCGAATTGCAGGGTAGTAAAAAGCATCGCACTCATCCAAGGCCTTCTGGCAAACTGCTCGATGAAGATTCCTAGCATTGGTCTCCTCCTGTTTCTGAACTTGTAAATTTTGGGCCCATGCAAACTCACTGCGTGGCACAAGCTCCCACTTGCGTGGGTTTTGAGCCGCCAGCAAACAGTGCCAGCCACACCAACCATCCCCTGGTACATCTATGCGCTTGAACCTTGCACGGCGGACAGGTTGCTGAGGCCCTTGAGTTTGTTGCAGCACACGCTTCAAAATGGCCTCACAAACCTTCTTGGTTGCCGCCTCAATGTGGGACACACCCAAGTCTTGAGCCCAACAAATGTTGTACACAAGCCGCTTCTTGACATCATGGGGCTGAGTAACATGGGAGACTGAGACAGCCCTCATCTCATTTGCCTCCAGATTCAACTCGCGACCGCTCACTACTCCTGACTCACATTGGGAATAATCCACCTCTATCAGGAGTGGGGGGATGCCGTGTGTGAACAGTCGTTGCAAGAGATCATGGGGTTCCTCATCACGTAGCCAAGACCCACATGTTCCAGCCATCAGAAGACCACAGGGTGTCAGAGAATGACACTTGCAAGTTCCAGTGACTTTCGGATTTGCAAGGATTTCATCAACACTGTCTGCATTTGAAAGCACGATGTTTGTGCAATGGAACTTGCCGTTCCATGCAGTCTTCCCGAAGAGCACTCCGAAGATTGTCTGGTCAGAGTAGGCCAAGGATACAAAATTGTTCAAGCTTCCTTTGTGAACTGACACGCTTGATGGCACCAGATCCACCGTGGCTGGCCGGGGTGGATTCAGGAAAGAGGATGTTACATCCTCAGCTTTACATGGTTGAAACCCATTCTCTTCGGCTGGCTGATCATTTGCAATCTGAGGGAGGCTTTGTTTGGCACTAGCAAAAGTCTTATCTGCAGCCTTCTCCATTTCAACCTCAGATCTAACGTCCCTTTCCATTTTCCGGAGATTTTGAGAAAGAGACCCCTGCTTCATGGATTCTGACATTGAAAGCAGCCAATCGTTGGCTGCCTTGTAAGTCTCAACTGTTTTACTCATTGTTTGGCCTTGGCCCATGTCAAAGCTAACCCTGAGCTTTGTGGGAATGCCCTGCTCCACCTCGACCTTCCCCTTGTCATTGACGGAGGCAGAGAATGCCACACTCTTCAAGATGAACTCCTCTGTCTCACGATGATGGCCAATGCACAATGTCTCTGCGATTCTCAGCTTTTGCACAGCCAAGCTTCCCGAGGAACCAAAGCCATGGTGAGATTGCCACTCTTTTCGCGGACCAGCCTCATCAACGGACGGGGGTAGGTGATGGAAAGTTATATTCAGCCCGGCAGAAAACTATAAACATGATGTACCGTGAGAATATTGAATATGGGCCAATTCTTAGATGTTATACATACATTATATAGATATATCCATACACGTGTGTTGGTGTGCGCATGCCAATGAGGCGACCATATTCCCGCATGCATGATTGACCGCTGCCAAACATACAGTCAAAAGAGCTTGCAATGCCGATGTGCCTTCCCCTTGAAACCATCGAATTTGGCAAGAACTGTTTGGCTGTGATGAAAGAATGCTAAAGCAGCCTCCCTCGCTGACTCCTCGCTTGGGAAGGTAGCCTTGGCAAACCTGCGGCTGAAGTTCTCAAGGCGTACTTGATACCTCAGTCAGCCATCAGGAAACCTTGAAAAAAACATCACTTAGAACTTTCAACACTGAGTTTGAGGGAGCTGTATAAATATACAGCATCCAAAAAATCTATGAAGTCATCCTTGAATGTTCATGTGTCCTGTCTGGCAGACATTGACATGAAGAAGGGAGATACCTGAAAACCACTTCGATTTTGCTGAATGTACTAGATAACTAGATACGTATATATGTAATTTTCTTTTCCGGGAAACTGTTGCATTGTTTTTCCCTGACATGACCAGATGCCTTTCAAACCGCTCACTTAGAACATTC